TTTTAGATTATCCATTTCCAAGGAGTTTAGAATTTTTTGGGTTCTCTTTAGTTAAAGAATTAGAATGCATTCATGGAATGTTTCTTTGTCCCCTTGAAGATTCTAATACCTTCAATGGCCAATGTGAGCAACTTTCATTCATCATTTTATATAATGTTTGACCGGTGATACTAGCAAAACTTTTAACAGCAAAAATATATTTTAAATACATTTTAAACACAAGTATTTCAAATCCTTTTTCGACGGCGACGTAGTCAGTTTTTTATTTTGTATGGGTCAAAGGTGGATACTATCAAACTTAGAAAAAGATTCTATTTTTGTTTTAATTCTTATTAGCAGTTTGTGATAATTAATTTACTCACCGGCAATTTTTTGAGTTTTAAGTTTAATTCTTTTATACATTAAACTCATCAATTAAACAAGCGGAGTTTAATTAATAATGGACAAAGGAACGTTAACTTATGCTTAATAATTATATTCCAAGAAGTTGATAATCTTAGTTGAAAAACATACTTATCATAAATTACAAAGTCGTGATTAAGGAATAGAGGTAAACAGGAAAACATGACTCATCCATGAATAAATAACCTCATCATCAGTTTCTAGGAAAATGTGGTTATTCAAAAAAAAGTAACTCTTGAAGACAGAAGCTAATAATGCCAATAAAAATTCCAATTAACTAATGCATATGCTGTATGAATTTTGGTGGTCATGCATTTCAATAAAGTGATCAAAATATCTCTGTTTCAATGCAATTTAAAATATCTCTGTACTTTTATTAAGAATACAGGGAATTATTATCTGTCTAAAGTGACGGTTGAAAGTAGAGAAAGTAGGCTTTTTGGGCTGCAGCCCAGGGCCCCGTGGATACAGAGGGCCCCTAACCTGAACTGAAAACGATAGACGATATTGTCAATAATAAAAATTATCTAGAATTAAAAAAAATCCGATCATAAGATTGACAACACTGCGATCAATCAACCCGTGTGCGCATCTATCAAACGGAACGAGGAATTCCCCGTCGCTTGTTTTCGGTCGGTGTATTCCGTGTATTGTCTATTACTGGGGACTTCCCTCCGCTTATCGCCCGACGCAATTTTGTTAGTTACATTTAGTGAATGAGTGCATTCAGTTAAAATTTTACTTAGTGCAGTCTAAGACAGAGTCTTACACCTCTTGCGGTGGATTTTTTTAGGTAATTTATGAAAAGAAATTTGTTGATGTTTTCCCAAACTGCTATACCATCTTAAAGATTTTGTTAACGTTGCCGATCACTAGCTGTGAAGCGGAGCGCTCTTTCTCCAGGATGTATATAGAATACAAATACAGGACAACAATGTTGAACTATCGACTAATTCATTTAACAGTTCTTTTCATAAATTGCGATTTAACAAAGGACTTACAGTGCGATGACCAAATAAAGGAATTTGCAGCACTAAAATGCAGAAAGGTTACTTTATAATTTATATAACATGACCATTCATAGCCTGTCAATTTATTTTGCAATAAATAATGTTTTAATAAATAAATAAAATATTTTGTTGTCCTATTTTCTTCCTGTAGTTAACATATATTATATATATCTACATCACTACAGAAAACTGTTTTTTGACAAAATGGCAATTGGTTGGGTAATTAGGTAGGGCCCCTAAGCAGTATTAGCCCAGGGCCCCACAAATTCAAGATCCGCCCCTGACTCCTACTTCACCTTCTAGTGTGTATAACTAGCCCTTTATGCATGAGAAGGTGTCCTACCAACCTATTTCGCCTGTTTCCAATATCTACTTTCATACTCTTTCTAATACCTCTTCATTTTTAACCTTTTCTATCCACGGCATCCTCATCATTCTGCTACAACACCTTCGAACGCTTCTAACATTTTCTTTTCCACCGCGCCCACCGTCTACTTTTCGCAATTAGAGACGTGGAACGTTAAAACTGAGGTGTGTAATGTACTATCATGTTATGTACACTCTGTATGTCAAGTTTTGGCTTGTTACCACAGATAATTGCGTATTTCATTCGTAATTATTATGTAGTTCTTTCTTAATCTATTCTAAATATTTCCGAAGAAAGTTTCATTAAAGTACACAAGTAATATTTACTATTGTCGTAAGATAATGTCATTACCAAAATGATCAATAATTAATTTGTAAATAACTAACATCCGTTTAGTCCATTTCTCTTGTGAACAACAAACAATGAATTTTTCCTATAATTGTAATCAAAAATCTAAGTCATCAATCGACATAATAAAAACCCACGACCAGTTGTTGAAAGGAGTATTATTGTAGCAGTTATAGTTCGACAGTTGATAATTCAAATAAGTTTTATGTAATAAGTGTTCAATATAATATTAAAAAAACGTCCAAGTGGTTTTACTTCAAAATCTCCCATAACAGGTGCGTGTCTAACCAATTTTTGGACTAACCAATTTGTAATGATAACTCATCAAAAGCCATGTCCAAAGGAATGATTTTTCCCAAAAGGTTTGGATAGTCTAGTTTGTAAACGACAAAACATACCATTTTGGAATTTGCAAGTTAAGCCATTTTTAAAAACCGCCAGATCAAAAAT